CGTATATAAAGTGGCTTCGAAACTGTTCTTGGGACAGACCTTGATTATAACTTCAAATTTTTGTCTAATCCAGGCGCTAGGCTCTCTGAACTAATTCCGAGGTTTTTAAATTGTTCAAAATGTCGCTGGAAAGTGTTTTAACTTGGCATGCAGAGTTCTAGAGCCCTATTGAAGCTCCAAAATGTTCTAAATTGGTTCAATAGAGTTCTAAAAGGTTTCCAGTTTTAAATTGATTTCTAATTGTTCTAAAATAACTGTGAGGTTTCTCAATTGTTGTTCGATTATTTTTTAAGAAATTCATAATATCTATACATCATTGAAAAGTGCAATAAATTCTCTATATTACCTGTGCAAAATTTTTTGTAGCTTATGGAGTTTTAAAGATATTGAGCCTCAAAGTTGAAATTTTGTTAAGTCTACTAGTCTACTATTTGTTCAAAACTTCAAACTCGATTTTCTCAAAAACCGTAAATGCTAGCGATTTCAACTAAACACCATCTTGTAGCCCTTATCAAGGGCTACAATTTCTGTTCCAGTACCGCCTTTGGTTACCGACATATTTAGGATTTCCAAATAAAAATCCAAAGGGGGTATTGTCTGGCTAGCCAAACGGCGAATAGAATTTGCTGCTTTGTCAAACTTGACGGAAACAGTAATAAACAAGTTGGTGACATATTTTTTTTTTGCTATATGAGCATGTGTAGTATTTTGAAATAGGAAAAAATCTGGCAACATTGCGAAATGATGGATGTGCAGAGGCGTGATTATTCAGAGGCATGATTCTATTGGTTAGAGCTTAAGGTTAGAGCCTGAATGACAGCACAGTGGCGTGGTTATTAGCGAAACTTTAAAAAAATTCTTATAATTTTATTGGTTCATTTCCTTGGTGTTTTCGGTGCCACTGAACCCAAAGACATGGCTGTCATCAAGCGGTGTCAGTTGAGGTGTCAGTGCATATTCTTAGGTTACGCCCCACTTTTCTTCCCCCTTTCGTCTCTATCAACTTACCACTTGCCAGACTATAGTTACAAGGTGATCTATTATAAATGTCACCCCTCCTATCTTTTTTATTTGACGTTTTTGACAGAAGTGTCAAATACAAAAGTTTTAAGAAACTATCAAAAGTTTTTAATTAAGTCAGTTTTAGGGCCAAATTATGGACCAACTGGTAAGTGTCTGGTTGTAACCTAGCAGGTACTTTCTATTCTCTAGTGCATAGAAAGTACCTGCTAGGTAACAACCAGACGTTTACCAGTCAGTCCATAATTTGGCCCTTAAGGCCGCAACGGCCCCCCCTTCAAATTATATTTTAGTTCTAAAAAAAATTATAGATGGCGCCAAGATGAAAGCATTTTAAATATTATAGCGATTTCAATTTGCAGAATCAGTGCAACTTTTTTCACTCAGTTCGCACTGATTGGCTAATGGGATTATCTTAGATTAGGGAAGAGAGTGGATGCGTAACAACTCAAGGGCATTTTTTACCACCTGCCACATCGCCGATAATTATCAATTTTCGATTTATTTTTATTTCAAGGTATTAATAATAAGAAATTTAATTTTACAGAGTAATAAAAATACCTTATGAGGTGCTATTTAAATAGTTTTCTGCATTTTTAATTATTTTTCAGGTCAATTTGATATTTAAAATAAAACATGACAAGACAGGATTTTTTTAAACAAATTTTATTAATACAAAAATATCCTGCTTCCTTTTTCACGCTGCGACTTTCAATCCAAAGGCTGAACAATTCACCATCGTAAAACTCACTATTTTTCAATTCACTGCTGTTTTTCACTGGAAAATACGTGAAAAATACCAAATACTGCATTCGCTTTGTCTGCCACATAAACAATGGCGGAGTGGTAACAGAATCGAATCAGTGCGCCTATAGGATGCGCGGTATCCACTCTCTTCCCTAATCTATGGGGATTATGGAGGGATTTGTATTTCCATGCCTGGTATGACTTCAAATTTTGTTCTACTCTGTAAAAGTGATGTTTTGTTGTAGAGCTTGTTTTTGTGGTATGTTTAGTTGTGGTAGGTATGAGATTTTCAGGAAGCAATTGGCACATGAATGGGCTTACAAATAGAGGAATACTCGGAGGAATAATAAAAAAATAGTCTTTCCAGGAGAGTTAGGTGTGCCATTCGTGGGAACATGCTGACCATTGCACCGCCGACCTAAGCAGTTTCTTGAGAACTGTGTAAGCTTGAAACCAGGATGCCCCATGCGAATAAACTTTTAACTTTTAGATTAGACATAGACTTTGAGCTGCTCACACGTATTTTTGCTTTATTATTTTTGAACTTGTAATTTTTAATTAAAGTTAATTTTTTAAAAACGGTTTCTTTATTACCGGAAACATAAAGGGAGTCTTACACAATTTCAGATATTGGTAAAAGATCCAAGAGCTAGTAAAAGAAATGCAAATCGCCAGATACCTAAATGGAATGCTCTACTGCATTGGTGGATATTATTATTGCACTAATATGCAAAAACACAAATGAAAAACTCTAATTTTAGCACTTTCCACCTTTTGTAAATAAATTTGAATAATTATTATTGAAGCTTTTCATTTTTTGAAAGACATTTTATCCTACAAAACACGATCCAATTTTTTTATGTATACCTAGGTACGTAAAATAGCTACTTTATTTATTTTCAATGGAAACCAATGGCACAGCATGCTTTGTGTCTATCATTTTATAAACCAATACATAATAAAAAACAAAACAAATACACAAGGTGAGAAAGAGGTTCTGTTGTCGATAGGTTTTTTTGGAAACGCTGAACAACCTACATCAGCTGCTGCTCCAACGCTGCGGGGTTTTCGAAAACTCCTAATTATGACATCACGAGTTGACTGGTGGCGCCATCTTCGAAAAAAAGCCTGAACTATATTTGCCAAATTATCTGTAATTTTATTCCAAAATCGGATTTAGACTACAAAAAAAAACGGCACATCAGAATTTGCTGAAATTTGGCATAAACATTCTTTGATCTAGAGAATAGTGCTCTTATTTTTTTAAATTTTTACCGTGGTTATTTCTATTTTTGGGTTAGTTGGAAAATCTAACTGCACTATTCTCTAGATAATCGATCAAGGAATGTTTATGCCAAATTTCAGCAAATTCTGATGTGCGGTTTTTTTTTGTAGTCTAAATCCGATTTCTGTATTTTGTATCGTGTGCATGGGAGCGATGTTGGCGCCTTAAGCATACAGGGTGCGTCAAAAAAGTATAGCAGAGCGAAGTTGTATTTTTTTAAATGGAAGACAATGTATATTGTGCGCTTATTTATTAGTTCTCTTCAACCTGATTTCAACGATATAAGCGAGGATATAAGGCTTGATATGATGAGGTTGAACATTTTTGTATGGAAAAAGTCGAAAATCGACTTTATGAACGACCGAATGTGCCTAATGCATTAATTTAGTGGTCTAAAACCCTCTTCGCATTATTGCCTTTCAAATTAAAGCGGTTTGGGGCACATCGGTCGGATGGTTTCAAAGTCAATAACGGACATAGGTAGAAATATTTTTTGTGTTTTATATACAGGGTGTTTGGTACATCGATAGGAAGTTTTCAATGAGTGATAGTTGGGGTCAGTTGGAAGCTGTGTGACAGTCATTTACCCTTATGAAAAGTTTCGTCATTTTTGAGATATCAGCATTTTTAGATATTTTTGGAAAATAATCGAATTGTTCCTAAAACTTTTGGTAGTAAACACTTTAACCTTCCTCAATTTTTTTTCCGATATTCTCAATATGCACTATTTCGGAAAAATACGGAAAGAAAAACCGAACGATTGATACAAAAAATTTGTAGCCCAAGTTATGTGTTAAAATATCGATATCTCAAAAAACGGCGAAACTTTGCATGAGGGCAAATATGATCAAACAGCTTCCAAATGACCCCAACTACCACTCATTGAAATCTTCACATCAATGTATCAAACACCCTGTATATAGATTAGGTATCTATTTGTCTTATTTTTCTATATTTTTTTCCATTACCCATGTCTATTTCTGGTGTATCTCTTCCTATTAATTTGTATGACAGTTTACTGTTTTAGTTGTGTTTTTATTTCTATCTCTTTCTTTTTCTCATCCAAAAATTGTAAAATTAGAAAGACAATATTTCTTTTTCATAGGGTCACATCATTTGAAATCAACCTTTCCACCTATTAACTCCATTCATTATTAAATCCATTTCTAATTACATACCAATTTAGCAAAAGTTTTAAACAAAGCGATTAAATACCAACCGATTAGTTGTGAAATTCTAATTTTTGAAAGGATGGTCGCTATGAATCATGCGGAGCTTCAATTATATTTCAGTCTGTCCAGTCTGGTGCTCAAGGTGACTAAACTAAATAATAAATTAGAAAAAGCAATTTGAGGTGTGGTGCAACCATTTAGACGAGATATATGCAAAATTTCATCAAATAAATAATGCAATAGTAACCTAGATAAGATTGTTGCTTCATTTAAGGTCACTATCGTGATGAACCCTTTTATAAGATGGGTGAGGCCTATTAGTAAGACGAGTGTTTAATACAGTTTTTCAAATAAAGCCAATCTTGCACCACACACACTGTAAAAAAACATTATAAATAGTTCAAATTTTTATCTGCTGATTTATTTATATAGATATCTATAATTGCAACCGGTTTATGAGCTGCGATTCTAAATAAGAAATATAAAGTTGCAACATATGTGTGATATAGAGTTTTTATGTAATCGTAATCAGCAGTATATCTTCAGTTTTCTCAAAAGATTTATATCAAGAGAAAGTTTAAAATAATTCAGATTTTCTGGCGCCTAGCAGATAATATGAACTGTGACATTTTTAAATTTCCATGTGAAAGATTACTTGTAATGCCATCGGTTGGCTTTTTTTTGGAACCTTCTTCCTAATCAACAAAGATCATTTGTTAATTAGATTGTTCATATTTTCTTCTATCAAATATTCAAAAACATTTTTTCTCTTCTAGGTACGAAGATCAATAAAACTTCGTGGACGCCGTAAAGACAAAGAAAAACTTCCTTCAGGGATAACAGCAGACTACACAGCAGATTTTTTAGCCAGCCTAGAACGAACCGACGTATCTTCTGCAATTCCTGGCTCACCGAATCAATCAAATCATTTTGAAAACGCTTACACTCAATCGGACAGTTCAGAAACGAGCCTAAATTCCTTAAACCAAAAAAACCTACCGCCATTACCTCCAAAACCTCCGAAACGAGGCATATTGAAAACTCCAAAAGTTACCCTAACCACGGATAGTTCTAATGAGACAAACGGTCATAACGGCCACAATGGTCACGACGCTGGAGATCATGTGGATTTAGTGAGAAACACGTTGCAAAACGAATTGATAACGTATCAAAATGTACCTGGCCAGAACGGATTTAGTGGCGTTAAAAATATGAGTAGTCAATTGTTGGTGATTACTTCTACTTCGCCTAGTGCGGATAGTTTGACGGATACTACGAATAGTTCGTTTGCGACTCCACCCTTTTCGTTGAGTCCTGTTGGTGAATCACAAGGATTTCATAGGTAAGAATTCAATTAAACTTTCAATTCAATACTTGTAGGAAAGGTGTTGTTAGTGTGGTAAAATTGGCAGTTGGGGTGGAACAAATTACAGATAAGGGTTTTTCAACGAAAATGTAGGTATGGGTTTTAGCGAGGGGTCAACCACTATTAGCACTAAAATATCTGGTTATTAGATACATTTTCATCTTCTCAGGATTAAATTAATTACCTTGAATCATCCCAGGTTAAATCAGTTCAACAAATCGAGGTTCAAATCTTAAAAAAATCTTTAATCCATTTAAATCTTCTTTAGTGATGTAAAATGCTCGAGCAAGTATTTTCGGAGAACGTTCTCCGAGTAGGATCGAGAATTAACGAGCATAAACGAGCAAAAACGAGCAGGACCCGAGAATTTATGCTTTTCATCAGAAGCTGAATAAAACAAAACATTTTTCTAAATAAATTCTGATTTTTCTCAAATTTCCCGAAATTCCCAAATTTCTTGTGAAAGTTCTGAAAATTCTTCATAAATGTGCTGAAAATTCTCAAACTTCTTAGGAAAATATAATACATATTTAGGACCGATACTTTTGCTCTCGATTAACAAATTTGATACGTTGTCAAAGTTTTGCATGGGCCAAGGTCTATAAGTATGATGTGATTAGAGCACATTCTAACCCCTGATTATTTTTAACTGTCAAATGAGAGCAAAAGTACCAGCATTTAATCTCATAATTTGTGTCATGTTTGACAACAATAATAATTCTAATTTGGGGTTTTCTGTGAAACTTCAACATACAATTTAGGAGAATTTTTTTTTTATAATAAAATAAAATAGTGATTTTAGTTTGAGTATATTCCAGTACAACGCTACCTTTCCTTACAAAAAAATAGCTATTGCTGCTAAGTTGCTTTCTGGTTCTCGTGCTCAATATTCGATATATCTCCGCCTTCAACAGCTCGTGCTTGAGAACGTGCTGAATATTCTCTATCATGCTCAATGTGCTCCGAAGGTAATATTCAGCACGAACCTTTTTTTCGTGCGCGAACGTTCGCGAATGTTCTCGAAAGCACAATCAGAACGTTCCCTTGTTCACATCACTAATCTTCTTAAATCAGGTTAAATCTTCCTAAATCAGGTTAAATCTTCCTAGATCAGCTTAAATCTTTTTAAATGATCCAATAAATCTTTAAATTACGTTAAATCACCTTAAATCAGTTAAGGTTTGAATAAAAATCTCTTAAATCCGATCAAATCTGTTAAATCAGTTAAAATCAAGAGTGATTTTAAATCGGTGTACACATTTTGAGGAAGTTGACCGCCCCCCGGGGGTAGCCTTCGATTTTTTTTTTTTTAATTTTCAAAGCGTCCTAACTTGAAAACGAAAAGCTCAAATACAAAACTTATAGATCTCGTCGCGTACTACAAAAAAGCCTATAAGAAGTATCCCGCCACGGGACACCGTTTTCGAGAAAATCGAGCTGGAAAATTTTAACAAAATTACAAAGAATTGCAATTTTGACGGCTGATATCTCAAAGACGAAAACCTGGAGTCTCAATAAAAAAAACAGTTTATAGGTAATTTAATTCTCTTTTAAAAGAGATATGACTCGAAACGATCGGTTGAGAAATAGCGGAGCTAGGTATAGCGAAAAAGTAGCGTCGTGTCAGATCGCCGAAATTTTTATCTGGTCAAAATCGAAATATCCTTTTTCCTACAGCCGTGCGGAAAAATCGATTTTCCGCTCTGATATGCGTGCGGAAAATGAGTTTTCCTGCACGGTGCGGTAAAACTTTTACCGCACGCATATCAGTGCGGAAAAAGTTTTTCCGCACGGCTGTCAGCGCGGAAAAAAATTTACCGCACTGATATGTCAAAAAAAAAAAATAATAATTCTACATTTTTACGCCTGTAGGAAAAATATTGTACCTAACACTTGCGGAAAAATTCATAAGTGAGTTTTAGGCACTCAGTGCGTAAAAGTGACTTTCAAGTGCGTAAAAGTAACTTTCAAGTGCGTAAAAGTGACTTTCAAGTGCGTAAAAGTAACTTTTAAGCACTAGTGCCTAAAAGTGTCATTCATTGTTCAGAAATAAAAACACACTAAACACAGATTTGAATTTTGTTTTGTATTTATTATGAATATTAGTCACCACTATGAAAGGTGTCAAGCAAAAGCAGGTGACAAACATTGAAATAAAATTGTGTTTTTTATTATGAAACGCCAGTAGAAAACATCTTGTATACAATACGTTACGAAACGAAGTCTTTTAGTCATTCGACGTGTTGTCCAACTCGGCCTTGCCTCGTTGGACAATTTTCACGTCGCATGCCTAAAAGACGCTCATTTCGCAACTTATTGTATAAATAGCTATTTTAATTTTTTCCCGGCCTTAAAATGCGTCATAGCAAGCAGGGTCCCATAAGCTTTTCAACGTTTTTTTTTGCTCCTCTATCCGATGGTATTTTTTTTTTTTGGAAATTCAGAAAAAAAAAATTCAAAATCAAGAAAGATGGGGAGGCTAACTTTTTTCCGGTACATCGGAGAGAACTGAAACTCGGAATATCGACTAAAAATCACATTTTGAATATTCCCGATTTTTGATTGGCTTCAAATTATCCGCTTACCAATAGAATTATAGACTGGGCCCCGTGATTGAAATAACTCTAACCCTTCGGGCTCGCGTATAACTCCGGCCCTTCGGGCCCGTATTACTGAGTATCCCAGATTCACAGATGTTTGTCGTGTTGTTATTGGGAAACTCGTTGGGATTTCAAATACATTTGAAACTGCCTAGCACTCAATGTTGCCTAAAACTTAGTATTAAAGGCAAATACACAACTGACCGGTACGCTGGATCCGAGGGGTCAACCACTTCCCGAAATACGTGTAGGTACATTTGGCTCGAATTACCTCCGAAATACTTCGAAGTTCCTATAAATTCCTTGAAGTACCTCGAAATACCAGGTATTCCCGTCGAAGTACGCGAAATCCCATGGAATTACTGTCGAATTAGGCGAAATACTTCTAAAAAATTTATCGTTGATAACGATTCTTCTTGCAGATCGCAATGAAGTATTTCTTGCTCAGATTTTTGTGTCTTTTGATATGATGGATTTTATTTGGACACACAGGATAGACAATAGGGAATTTTCATGAGAAATAAATATGGCTTATTTTGTTTTTATGGTGCACCTTTTTCTGTAAAATATTGAATATGAGCAGGTTTGCGTTAAATTTATCGATATTGTAGTCATACGGCGATTATTAATTTTAAATTGAAAACTTTCGCGCGGAAAAGTTACGTTTAACATGGCCGCTTCCAGTGACGTCAACTGTTCGTAAATTAAGGTTAAGGGTAGTTTACACTGATCGTGAATCCACGGTCCACGTTTTCGTGGTTCACTCTTGAGTCGTAGAACGATTAGTCCACGATTAGCTCACGTCACGCCACGACTGATATTGAACCACCATAAATGAGTCTAGTATAGAGGGAAGATCGTAAGACTATGCTTTTGTAAATCCTTTATCAATCCAACCATGATGAACGATTTAACACACGAAATGTCACAATACGGCACTAAATACGGAAACACCACGTAATAACTGCTTTTCATGCAGTCGAAGGTTCAAGCTGAGTGATTCTTTCTGACAGTTTGCAAAGTGTCAGAGGCTCTTGTGAGAACAGACCTTAACCTCCTTAACGTTGTGTTTACAGACAGTTGACGTCACAAGTACCACCATTTTGAAGGTTATCGTTTTCGCGCCAACGAAAATAATTTGAAATTTAAAATATTTTTTTGATTTTAATGAGGATCTAATACAAAAAAAAACCTATATATTTTATATTTGAAAACATAAACAATAAGAAAAAAAATAATTTGAAAAATATGATTGTTCCCTATTGAATCAATAGTTAGTGATGCAGGTTTTGGAAATATTGACAGTTGAAAATTGACTTTTTTGCAGCTTTGACAGGCTGTAAAACCTAAATGGTTAATTTTAGAGGAAAACCGTTCTTACATTATAGATTTTTATAAACTATCATTTGACAGCAACTTTGAATTTAATCCATGATCAAAAATTCTGGTTAAAAATTTAATCTCTAGTTAAATTCAAAGTTGGTGTCAAATGATAGTTTATGAAAATCCAAGGCAAGAATGTAAGATTGGTTTTCCTCTTAAATTAACCGTTTAGGTTTTACAGCCTGTCAAAGTTGCAAAAAAGTCAATTTCCAACTGTCAATATTTCCAAAACGGTTGAACTTAGGTATTGAAATTTGGTACCAAAATGTATGGAATTAAAAATCCTGCAAAATGATATCACTTGACCCCTCTTCCCATTTAAGATTTTCTAGGGGGTGGCTCTGGGGTTTGGGGGGTTGAAAGAGGGGAAGTGAATTTTGCATAAAAACTTATCCCCCTTCAAATTATATTTGACGTGTTTCAGGGATTTTTTTGGAAATTTTTCTACTCCGAGATAATAGGGGTGGGAAGTTTTCAAATTGACACCCTGTATATCCTATCCACAATCCGTAGTCCAAAGGTACCTAAAGGTAAATTTATCACCTTTTCCTATCAAATAGCACTGAAAGGTGATACATTTTACCTTTACCTTTGGACATCGGATTGTGTATAGATAATACAAAGTATATCGTTCCATTTGTTTCAATTAATCTGCAGTAAATTCAAAGTATGTCAACATATTTAGCCTGTTCGAAGATGGACTATAATTTTCATTCTATAATATTCCAATTTTAAGTGATAAAGAATTAATTGAACCCTATGCTGGAACAACGTTTCAAACGCCAAATATACCAAACAAGCGCGAAACTAGGGCGGTTGCAATTAAAACGTTATTGCACAAAAAGGACATACTGGGCCAATTGAAATGGCATCAACACTTCATAAAAAAAAAATCATATTATCCCACTATTAAGTTGGCGAATTATCCAGGGTACAATACAACGTTATTCCATGAAAATACCGTTTTTACACATTGTCGTTTACAACGTTGTTCCAGCATAGGGTTCAATTGTTCTCGGTACATAAAAAAATAACTACTTTTAAATAGCTCGAAATACCTCGACTTACCGCAAAATATTTGGCATTTTTCGAATTACCTCGAACAGAGGCGCCGACTTTTGAAAGTCCTCATGGGTGCAGGATAATAAGTTTATAAATTTGTGCATAGGGGGAGGGGGAAGCTCGCCGCAGGCGCCGGCGAAGGTAAAAATTTTTATTTACAACCACATACGTAATGTTGACATTTCTGACTTTTCAAAAGTTTGAAAGTGACACTTTTTTGAATTTTGGTTGGTTGACTCCTCGGCTGGATCGTTTAAAATAATGATATGCGATTTCTGGGTTATAATGAGATGATATTCCCAGCGATTACCACATGATTCTCAGCGATTGCTAATGGATTTTTATGTGATTCCTATGGAGTCCTAGGAGATTCCTAGCGATTCCCAGGGCTCCCAAGTGATTACCATGTATTCCTGATTGTTTACTGTGTGATTCCCAAAAAAATTTACAATGATTTCCAGTAGTGGTTTACGCCTCGGGGTCAACCACTATGCTTACAAATGTACATGTGAAGTTGACTTTTTTATTACTCTGGTTATTCCATCATTGAGCGTCCCTGCCAGGCCCAACTTGTGTACTTTTTTTGTCCTAAATAATCTCCTAATTATTGTAGCGAATCGTTATCAGTAAACCTTAACGTGTACTGGAGAAATTCTGTGTTTTCTTCTGGCAAGTCGGATTCGAGATTCATGTTTCCATTTTCATGATCTACAACATCGTATGCAATTTTTCATCTCGTTCTTCTTCTTCAAGTTCTGAACTCTTCGTAGTCTTGGGTTCAGTCATTGGCTTGGTTTTTGGAAAACTCTCGGGAAAACTCGTTAGGAAATCAACATTTAACCAACACTTCGTATCTATTTCCATTCTAATTTAGTCTTAGTGTTGAAAACAAATACACAACCGCCAGTACGCCGACATGTCGGTAAAAATGTATTAAAAATTTGGTTAACACATTCTTGGATTTGTAATTTGTAGCAGAATGAGATGTGATTCCCAACGATTACCACATTATTCTCAGCGATTGCCAATGGATTCTTATGTGATTGATTCCCATGAATTCCTTGGTGATTCCTAGCAATTCTCAGGGATTCCCAAGCGATTCCCTTGTATTGCTTATTGATTGTCGTAATTCCCAAAAAAATGTACAACGATTTTCACTAGTGGTTGGTTTACCCCTCGGTCGGATCGGCGGATAACTGGCCATTTTTTATTCGCCAGATTGCATTATCTAACAGTTTATCAGAAGTTGAATAAACCGGGCCTTAAAGTAGTAAGAGCAGATCCAACGATTCTTTAGAATGAAAAACTACAAGACAGATTCTCAAGAATTACAACCAACTCAACAGACATTTTTGAGAATGAGAAACTACACAATAAACTTACCAGAAATTCTTGAAAATGAGAAAACATTCAACCGAAATATCTGAGAATCAGAAACCAAACAAGAAATCTACCAAAGATTCTTGAAAATAAGAAACATCCAACAGAGATCTTTAAGAATGAAAAACAGTTCAATAAATATTTTTACAAATGAAAAATAAACTAGTCAGATTCAACAGAGAATTTTATTCTTTGAGAATGGGAAACTATCACCTTGGAATTATAGTGTACAACCATGTGGGATTCCAGTGGGATTTTTCGAAAAATTTCATTGGACTCCAGTAGAATTTCGTGGGATTCCAGTATAATTTGCTAGGATTCTGGTGTACTCATTTTTCAAGGTGGTTTACCCCTAGTGACAAACTAATGACAGAATCTCAAAGAATGACAACCAATTCGACAGACATATCTTTGAGAATGAGAAACCACGCAATAAATTCACCAGAAATTCTTGAGAATGAGAAAACATTCAACCGAAATATTTGACAATCAGAAACCAAACAACAAATCTAGCAGATATTTTTGAGACTGAGAAACAGAATTTTATGCATTTTTTTTGCAAATTAAAAACAAGCTTGCCAGATTCGTCAGAGATTTTTATTCTTTGTGAATGGGGAACTATACGAAAGATTCAACAGAGATTCTTCAGAATGAAATAATGAAAAACTAATAATAGATTCCAAAGAATTATTATCAAAACAGACATCTTTGACAATGAGAAACCAACCAATAAATTCATCAGAGATTCTTGAGAATGACAAAATATATATGTAAAAATATTCAACCGAAATATTCGAGAATCAGAAACCAAACTGTGCTAGCCAAATTCAACAGAGATTTTTATTCTTTGAGAATGGGGAACTACAACAGATTCAACAGAGATACTCCAGAATGAAAAACCCATTAGTAGGTATAGGATCACGGATCACTTGAGCCTGGGAACTTTTTCGATATTGTGGGATATTACTGGTCTTGTGCTGGATTTGGCTGGTTTTATGCTGGTTTAGCTGGTTTTGTGCTGGCTTTCACTGTGTTTGAGTTGAATTTTACAAAACCAGCAAACCATCATAAACCCAGTGAAAGCCAGCACAAACTCACTGAAAGCCAGCACAAAACCAGCTAAACCAGCATAAAACCAGCAAAATTCAGCTTGAAACCAACAAAATCCATCGATTTTCCCATGGTATCGAAAAAGTTCCCAGGCTCAGGTGACCCTATACCTACCTACTTAGATTCTCAAGAATGCCAACCAACTTAAGAGACATCTTTGAGAATGAGAAACCACACTAATAAATTCACCAGAGATTCTTGAGAATGAGAAAATATTCAACAGAAATATTTGAGAATGAAAAACTAAACAACAAATCCACCAGAGAGATTCTTCTTGACACTGAGAAACATTCAACAAAGATCTTCAATTAAAAATAAAAAACAGCTCAACAGACATTTTTACAAATGAAAAAGACCAGCAGACTCTTTTTTTCCCCTTATTTATAGATTTCACCATCCGGATGTTTTGGAAATAAACCAGAAAAAACTTCAAAAATTCACAATAGTGGCGATTTTTCAAAACTAGATGGGACTTTTAGTATATTAGGTATTAAGGACACCCGTCTCTTCAAATTTCCACCATTAAACATTTGTCTTCAATTTGTTCCACTTTACACCACAAAATCTGCTAATTTGTACCTTTACCTAAATGTTAGATTTTATCAAATTAGTTGGTTGACTTGTTCTTGGGGTAGTATTGAAATGCTTGTGATGAAATTCGTATTTGTTAGAAAAAGTAATATTGATTTTAGATATTTTTTTTTTACATAATGTAGAAAAGTACAACAAGCAAGTCATGTCAAAGATTGCCCTTTTTGCTAATTTTTGTAAGATAGGTTGAATCTCGGGTTGAACCAATCACTAGCTTTTGTACCAAAAATGAAGTGAATGAAATAAGAATTAGATAATTATTTCAGGTATTTGCATATTTGTCTTCTCTTGATTCCTGCATTCTGCTTAAAATGACTGACCATTGTGGATTTCATAAATTCTCAATCAAAGGGGTTAGCATACCTTGGTTTAGAACATTCAATATTCCCATCCCAAGCCTCATTAGGGCTTCCTTGCAAGGGTAGTAAATTACTAATTAATGTTGAGTATAAGTGCCTTTTAAGCAGCTTACCGCCTGGGGCTCGCTTTCACCCTCCTTTGTTGTTTTTACCTTTTTAATTAATTATGTATTTCAACGGGTCCCACAGTATTATATATTAGCTTTTACCTCTTGCATGGGTGTCTCAATAGGTCAATATACAAATTAAGTCAACAATTAATTGAAATTTCTACAATGCGTCTAGATCTAATTTAAATTCAAGACATTGCCAAAACCGATATTTACCTATTGGCCAATACCGATTGGGTTGAGTCACACGGGATGTATGTATTCAATTTATTGAAAGGTGAACGTTTGTTGATTTCTTGCTGAATTTGTACGTGAACTCTTGTAATTCAAAATATACCAGGGTGCTGTTGTCTTATAGTTTCCCGCTGCACCCAAAAAAGTGAAGCTAACGCCGATTGTTTAGCATCCAGAAAGTACGGTTTTTTTTTTATAAAATTTTACTTGAGTTTTCTTTGTTTTTTGCTATTTCAATAATTTATTCATAGCTTAGCTTTCTTAAGTGAGCAGATTCTACTACTCTTTAAAAAGTGGATTGTTGTGCTAAGCCAGACGACATCTTGATTCTTAGAACTGCGTCTGATTTGATTAATAACTTCTTTATAATACCGATTTCCTCTTTTTTCTTATCTAAGAAAGTCTTTTATTTCAGATGGTCCAGAACATCGAATTTCGATGAAATCAATCTACCTCTACCTGATATAGTTCCAATCGTACTTCCAAAACCTAGAACCCTTGTTATACAAAGGCAAAAACCACCTAGGAGCGATTTTGGTTTTTCACTTAGACGAGCCATGGTTTTGGAGAGAAATAATTTTACCATTTTAGAAGGTAAGAATTTATCAAGGAATTTATTATCAATCAAGTTGGCTCGATATCCTAGCAAGCTTCTTACAATTTCTACAGTATACTGTTATGATTTAAACAAAACTTGTGCCTTGTTACATATGTATATGATAAAGGATACTATTGAGGTACGGAATGTGGTAGAATATGGCGCCTATCTATTTCCACAATTAGCAACTAATGTTCCAAAATAAATGTTCATAAATTAAACTGAACTGACGATGAAAACAACTTATCATTACCCAGTGGGACCTAATAGCATTTTAGGAAATACTAGGTATATCATTTTACCTGAAGTGGAAATAGTTTGATTCAAGTTGTTGTACTGTATACTCCATACCATCATGTGTTAGCCTTTAGCAAATTGTCCATTTACTTTCAATATACACCTCAAACTATTCGAAGTTAATTTTATGTTTGAAGGACGATTTTTTGAGCTAGAGTAGTAAAGCTAAATGAAATCTGTTTCAATTTAAGGTGGAGTCAGTATGAAAGCTGTGATATTTGCTGAACCAGGAGCAATGGTTCAACACCAAAACGATACCGGCCTATTGCCAGGCGATAAACTATTGGAAGTCAATGGAATACCTGTTGAAGATAGGACTAGAGAAGAAATTATCGATATGATCAAAGCTTCTGGGGATAGTGTCACACTAAAGGTAAGACTTTCGAATATTCAAATTCTTTAAATTTCTTTTTGATTTTTCACCAAATTTAATTTATTATTACTGGTATACATATAAATGTTGCAAAATAACGGAACATTTATGTATGAATAATTTATTTAAATTAGTTGGCTAATTACAATACACATTGTGATTATTGCAATGTGCTGCAATAATATGTTACAATTGATTTAATCACGAAATCAGTGTAACTCATGATTGACTATTGAAAAAGTTACTTTCTCGGAACTTGTGTGTAGGCAAGCGTTAGTGATATTTGAGCTGATTGTATCAGGTTTTATGAAGGGAAAAGTAGTGACAGTCATTTTTCATTTTTTATAAATTTTATCTGTATATTTCGTTTTCCATAAATTCTGAAATTGGTTGAGTTTTCAAGCTCTCATTTGGTGCTTTACTAATGAGTAACGTGAACTTTTTCAAGAAGTTCACGTGTCAAGTCATTATATTTTTGCGTTCGTTAGTGTTGCAAACTACTGGAAAACCATTAATTTCTGCAGAAAATTAATAAAATTTATTATTCAGTTTCCTTGATAGAGTTCAATACAATCCTGTAAAGTTACGAGTCAATTTAATGATCTACCCGGCTATATAATCCTACAATGACTGATATGGTGTTTGGAGCATATACTTGAAATTCCCATGAAAATAATTACTATTTTATTACATTACATGGCTAACGGTGTGGTGTAACTCTTATTGACTTTTGGCTTACAGAATATAAATCTTGAATTGATGTGCGGTTTGATTTATGCCCATTTTGGAGGTTGTTCTACACATAAAATTTGTCAAAAATAAATTACAGATTTTTTGAAAGGAAAATACAAATCTAATAAACACTTGCCAAGAAACAACTCTGAAAACTCTCATATGAGCTGCCCACAATAACAAATGGGTCAAGTTTGTTAAATGATTAAATTACCTCTACGCGTTCGTGTTAAAAAGCCATTCGTAGTGGTATTTAGAGCTTAAATACTGGAAACTGATATAGAATAGGATTTTAATGTTTTTGATAAACTTAAGACTTTCAGCGAGCTCGTTTTTCAAGAAACTATAGAATAATGAATTATTACCGTGGTTGTGGTTATCTAGTAATGTTGAAGAAGATAATACCATTTGAGTCAGATTCAAATCGTTTTATAATTTGTACAACATTATGTTACTGGCATACCATTTATTATAGATTACAAGCTATTTAATGTAGCATGAGAATTTACAGGTTGCACATGCAATAGAAAGAGAGCGACTTTGTAGCTACCGAGATGCTCCTGCTTTTCCGATGGTTAATAATTGAATGAAACACGATGTTTTTTTTTTGACTTTTTAGTGTAAAGAGTTTTAGCAAAGAATGTTTTAGGAATGGAAATTATTCCATCTTAGATATTTTTAGGTAACTAGGGATCTACGTAATATCATTCGAATCAGTGAGGAAAGAATTTTGAAAATTTAGAATTGGGGACAGTGTAGGTCTTTTTAGAAGTAAATAGTATTGGAATCCAGCTTTGACATATTTTCAACTTTTCCATACAAGTTATGTTTTTGTTGGATAATGTCCATTTCTGTTCTTGTTACCTATTGGAAATTCGATTCTCTCATGAAGTTATGACTAACTTTCCAGGGAAAGTATTGAAGAAAAGAAATATTCCTCAGAGTAAATATTTCCCTATCAGTAGGCAAAGATCATATCCTGGAATCAAACTAAAATTATATTGTGGTTGCCGATGATGTTGAGGAGATAGGTAACTGTTTCTAATAAACATTTGGAGTCGAATGAAACTACGGTTATAGAAGAAATTGAAATTATATTAAAGATACAGACCACTGGGTCTTATTCTAGACCAGGACCTTTCCGAGTTATATATTATAAGTGACTACCGGCATTACTTGAAGATTGCCACAGAAATTGTTGAGTATCGACCGCCAGAAACAAAAAAACAATTCAGCAGACATAGATCTAAGATCTACCCGGAATAGTAAAACCCCATCAATATGTAGCTGAGTTCCAGGAATTGGAATACTTACTTAAGTAGATGGACCAATGGCCAATTCTAATTTTATGTGTCAGTGTTTTTTTGATTATCTTTTAGTTTTTACTCCATTTTGTGTCCTTTTTCAATTTATGAGAAGCTTTCCTGCGTGAAAAGGAAAAAGCATGTTTAGGTAGTGCCATCAGGAAAAAACTGTCGTATATCCAACGGTAGCAGGTTATACAAGAGTTGTAACTTTTTTCAATAATGCCTTCTGAATTTTTCATAAGTTCAAGGCTTTATTTTAATGTGAAATTTGTTCCTCGCTTATGGGAGAACATTCGTTGTTTGATTAGTGTCAGGCAACCGTAGCAAGTTATACAAGAGTTGTAACTTTTTTCAATAATGCCTACTCAATTATTTTCATAAGTTCAAGGCTCACTTTAACTTGTTTGCTCTTCGCTTATGGGAGAATATTTTTGTTTGATTATCGTCTTGCCTTGGCGTCTTCACCCTCTATTTCCCCAGAGTGAAGTCAAAACCCTTCAAAGGACAATAATAATGCCTGCACCTTGTGTGTATACGCAACTCACAAAGGAAATTTTTTTCATACAGTTCTAACGTTGCGTGCGTGCTCCTTATTGATCCAGCGTAAGCAGGAATGCAATAAAATGATTAAATAGAACCATGTTTCACTTTATACAAGACCGCCACATATTAGAGATAAAGTCGGAAAGTGCATTTAAGATAGAGGCAAATTTATTATTGGATTTCTCCTTTGGATCGCATACACATGCACAAGGATATTTAATTCGCTTTTATCGCTAGCTATGGCCTTCCTGTCTGAAGAAGCCATTTCGGTATTTATAGGATGTTTATATCCGCTTGTATGTTTCTTTCTGTTATTATTGGCAGATTGTATTAGGTTATTCTCCATTGGCAAAATTGGCTTATATAACAAGCTTATTAAATCCCCATAAACAAGCCCCACGATTACTGCACAAATTCGATCCGATGCAACGATAATATATAAATGCGCGTCCATTATTAACGTTAAGTATCTCATTAAATGCTTCTTGCTGGTTTATTTCAGAGCTTCAAAGCGGAACAATTTATTAATAAATTTGTATTCAAATTGACGCCTTTCGGCAATTATCGTTCATGATTTCCTGGACCATAACGCACTTTAGGTTCCTCTGGTGTGTTCTTGCGTTTCCGGTTAGTTGTTTTGGATTGTGATTTTTTTAATTTGTTTTTATTGCCAAATAAAATGCGTGTTTTGTTAAGTCTAGCGGAAATAATAATGCTAATGAGGATCCTGCGTTTTTTGAACTAAATTAAGCTGTATTGTTGGTAAAGACAAGAAAGTGGGGTGTGTGGAAAAGGACTAAGAAGTAGGTATGAAGAATAAGTAAGAGAATGCACGACAAAATGTTAAAAAAATTGGGGGAAAATTAGAACAAGAAAAAGGAAAAAATCGTAAAAACGAAATTTGAGAATTAAACTTATTTAACCTATATCAAGTTAGCAATACCACATGCACGCCGGGATATGGCGTTAAGTGATTAATTTGTCGTAAATTTGTCGTGCAAAAAAAAAATTTGTCGCGTTTTTCTTTTTTCTTAAATACCCTGGTAGTGCTAACTTGATATCAAGTTAGCACTACCAACGTCACCCGATGTTCCTACAGACGTTTTATTAGGTGAATAATTTGTCGCTTTTTTGTCGTAAATTTGTCGTGCAAAAAATAAATTTGTCGCGTTTTTCTTTTTTCTTAAATACCCTGGTAGTGCTAACTTGATATCAAGTTAGCGCTACCAACGTCACCCGATGTTCCTACGGAAGTTTTATTAGGTGAATAATTTGTCGTTTTTTTTGTCGCAAATTTGTCGCGCAAAAAAAAAAATTGTCGCGTTTTTCTTTTTTTTTAAATACCCTGGTATTGCTAACTTGATATCAAGTTAGCGCTACCAACGTCACCCGATGTTCCTACAGAAGTTTTATTAGGTGAATAATTTGTCGTTTTTTTGTCGTAAATTTGTCGTGCAAAAAATAAATTTGTCGCGTTTTTCTTTTTTCTTAAATACCCTGGTAGTGCTAACTTGATATCAAGTTAGCACTATCAGGGTATTTAAGAAAAAAGATAAACGCGACAAATTAGCATTACCAGGGTGTTTAAGAAAAAAGAAAAACGCGACAACTTTTTTTTTTGTACAACAAATTTACGACAAAAAAACGACAAATTATTCACCTAATAAAACTTCTGTAGGAACATCGGGTGACGTTGGTTGTGCTAACTTGATATCAAGTTCGCACTATCAGGGTATTTAAGAAAAAAGATAAACGCGACATTTTTTTTTTGCACGACAAATTTACGACAAAAAAAACGACAAATTATTCACATAATAAAACTTCTGTATGGGAACATCAGGTGACGTTGGTAGTGCTTACTTGATATCAAGTTAGCACTACCAGCGTATTTAGGAAAAAAGAAAAACGCGATATATTTTTTTTTGCACGACAAAAAAGCGGTAAATTATTCACCTGATAAGACTTCTGTAGGAACATCAGGTGTCGTTGATAGTGCTAACTGGGTATTTAAGAAAAAAGAAAAACGCGACAATTTTTTTTTTCTGCACGACAAAAAAGCGACAAATTATTCACCCAATAAGGCTTTTGTAGGAACATCGGGTAACATTTCTAGTGCTAACATGATATCAAGTTAGCACTACCAGGGTAAGTTAGCACTACCAGGGTATTTAAGAAAAAAGGAAAACGCGACAAATTTTTTTTTTGCGTGACAAATTTACGACAAAAAAACGACAAATTATGCACCTAATAAAACTTCTGTAGGAACATCGGGTGACGTTGGTAGTGCTAACTTAATATCAAGTTAGCACTACCAGGGTATTTAAGAAAAAAGAAAAACGCGGCAATTTTTTTTTTGCATGATAAATTTACGCCAAAGAACGACAAATTATTCACCTAATAAAACCTCTGTAGGAACATCGGGTAACGTTGGTAGTGCTAACTTGATAT